GCTTTGCATCACGCAGAGCCCTAGGAACAGGGCTTGCGCAAGTGTGCTCAACGAAGCGGCGTAGCACATCATCCGCCAGGCTTCTGCGCCTCATCAGCTCACTTATCTGGAAGTGCCCAATGCCACGCAGGAAGCTGCAGAGACACAAGGCGCCGCTGAGAAGACGCGCACGGTAGGCACTGCTGAAACGAGCTAGCTTGAGCTGCCATAAAGGCTTCTCAAAGCCGCGCGCAACCGGACTTGAAGAACCAACACGCGGCATCAGCAATTACGAAAATGCCAACTCTAGACTGCAAGCACCCCTATTTAGAAGGCTGCCAACGCAGCATACTTTCTGCAGAAAGATCGTGGATACCTGCTAGCAAGGTCCCGCCTGAGAAACCAACCCTCACGCAACCTAACAGCTCCTGCCAAGCCAACATGGGGGCGCGAGCAGCGACATCGGCGACACAAAGCGTGGAGTCTTGGCAAGGTGCCGGCTACACGAGAGGCCCTGTTAGCACACCCCCAGACCCCAACCGCATCGGGCACACGAAGGTTGTAGCAGCACATGTCAAGGTCAACTTGACTTGCACGAGTGTCACGCATCAAGGCCTGCATCTCAGACGTGACCCAAACGTGACTCTGCACGTCACTCTCTAGTGTGTACCAGCTACCCTCCTTGCTCAGCATGCAACACAAAACTGCGACACGGCGCAAGTACTCTTTTTCGGCAGCCTGCTGGCGTGCACTCGAAGCGCAGCTACGGCACGGCAAGCGAAAGTGCCACAGCTGGTTGGGGCGCCGGGCCCTGCCCAACAATGCCTCAAACGTAGCGCCCCGCAGCAAAAGCCGGAACGGACACTTGCAACTAGTCGAAACAAAGCAAGGGTCCTGCGCAAACCAACCTCGCGCGCTCCTCAAACATTCGGAAAGACCGGCCTCTACGGTAAAAAGCTCCTGGAAGCATGCTCGGCCACGCGCTGTCGACGATGCCCCAGCAGCCCCAGGGCGCGAAAGTGCTTGGCCGGTTTCGGCGTTGCAAAGACCCCACAAATCTAGTTTAGACAAGGGCTCTTGCAGACTCATCCAATCCGGCCCCAGCAGTTGTGCTTCGGTCGCAGTTAACTGCGCAGGCGGAGGCAAGGCTTTGAAGCGGGACGGGTAATCAGAGGGGTTATGATGAGTTGACACCCACAAGTTGTAGATAATTTTACTACTAGCCAAGCTGACGGCCAAGCACTTCCGCAGCAAGCGGTTCAACCTCCGACTGCTCGATCGGCCCTTGGCCACAGCACCTAATACTACACGAGAATCTGTGAGATTAACTGCACGAAGACCACCCTTCACCCTCGAAGCCACATCAAGATACTCCCTGTGGAGAACCTCAAGCTCAAGCAGGTTAATGTGATGCCTAACCTTGAAGGGCTTAGATTCGGTTACCACCCATTTGTGAACTGACGTTAGCCTCTCCAGGTGCTGATTAGGCCTTCTCATGTCAGTAAGAGGCGCAATGCCTGTGGTGCCCCAATCCAGACGAACTCGCTCCCCAACGTGCTCAGCAGCACGGTGAAGAAGTCGACTGACACTTGGTGAAGTGCGAGTCGCACAGCGCCCTGCCCCGGACAAACTTGCGTCTGTTGATGACAAACGCTGGCTGAGAGGCCACCTAATGTTCGTATGACATAAAGGCAAAATAAGACATGCTCCAACAAATTCTTCTACGAGGCTTTTGGGCAATGCTTTGCGACCCCGACTCGGCCAAGTTTCAAGCAGTGTGTACACCTCGCCAAACACTGACATGCACAGGCGACGATGCATGAAAGGGTGGGTGAACAACCCTACGAGCTGTTCTAGGCATTTTATTTCTTGCTGATCCGGCGTAGCTGCAGAACACTGCAGGTAACTTGGCACAGCTGTCGCAGCTTCTCAAGAGGAGTCCCCACACGTCCGCTGGCACTGTCAACTTCAGTACCCCAAACCTTAAATTTTCTAAGCTTGGTGAATGCTTTGTCAGCAGACACGGGGAGACCAAGCTTGGCATACTGCTGCCGGCTGCGGGCGATGAGTTCCTCATCCAGAGAAAAGTTTGGGTCAGAAGCACCTTTGCGAAACTTTTTCTTTGGTCCAATTTGAAGCACTACATGGTCGTCTATGTATAAGCCTTCAAGGGTATGTTCAAAAGGGAGGGGCGAGTTGTATTCTAGGACGTGTTCTGGCCGCATGACTCCGGCGTCACGAAGGATTTCGACGTGCGTCTGCTGGCAAATGTCGACGCCATTTACATCTCCCATACACACCACCCTAAACGCCAAAACATACTTGCGCGAAGGCGAAGCCCCGAACTCAGTAAAGAACTTGCCGCTAACAGCTTTACCAACGACGTTCCTGGGCAACCATTCTTCCCTGTGCTTGAGCAGATAGAAAAAATTTTTCAAATCATCGCCCGAGGCCCTGATTGAAAGCTCGCTGCTGAGGACTAGCTGCGTCAAAAGGGTTCCGTGAGGGAGTTTGGCCCACACAAGCCTTCTTTCGTTGCGATTGAAGGGCCGACGATCGTTTATGACACGATCACTGTGCTCTTTGTGCGAGACCCCGAACAGCCCCCCTGAGATGAGTTTTCCGCGCTTGTCATACAATCCCTCTTCTTCAGGCAACAACACAGCGACCCCTGACCGAAGCAACTTTGTGTAAACCCCAACTACGTCCTGATCCTTGACTCTGTGACAGGGCTTGAAGGTTGCAGAAGGCTTGGCTTCAATTGGAACCTCGTGAGGCATGTTCTGGAATTGCTCCAGCTGGTCTCCCTTGAGGAAATCTGCTGGGTCCACGATGCCGGCTGTCTCAGGGAGAGACATTCTGTGAGGCTCTACGTACTTAACAGCTTGCTGTAGCTCCTCCCAATCACATGCACCTAAGTTATTGTACCCCTTAGAGGTCAGTAGTTCAACTAATTCCATGGTTTTCTTGATGCCTCTACCCGGGGTCTGGGCGACCTCGAGGCTGCAGAATTCAAGAACCTCCTTAAACACTGAAGAAGCGTGACTCTGGCGCAAGGCTGACCAGGGCTGAGCCAAGGCTCTACGGCACCAGCTCTCAGCCTTGTTGAGCGTAGCAGGGCACCCCGCTTCGAGGAAGTTGAAGTAAGCCCATAACACTTGACACCAAAGCGTGGCCTGTTGAGTCACGCCTCGTCCCTTCTGGCGCTGACGCCACTTGCTTTTCCTAGAGAGGCTGCCGAACTCTCTTAGGCGCAACAGAGACGGAAACATGCAGTCACCAGTCTGAGGTGATGGCTTGGTCCCCTCCTCTAGCTTATTACAGCAAGAAGAATAACATTTGTAAAACCTTGCAAAAGATCCATGATGCTTATTTAGCAGATCTACCAAATTATGGATATCACCCTCAGCCTGCTTGGCTTGCGGCTTCAGGCGTCCGCTCTCACAGGGTCGGAATTCTTTCCTTTGCCACGGCCTCCTTTCGGAGGGCGGCCCTTGAAGTCTCCTTCTGCACTGTCGGGCACTCGGCCCCGCAGCTCTGTCTCGGCATTGTCCGCGTTCTGGTTCCAAGTCTTGGTTCGCCTCTCCAAGTCCTGAGAAGCTTTGAGGAAGGCTGCTGTGGTTTCCAGAGATTCTTCCTCCCCCCCGAACTTGCGTCGAGAGAATGGATCGTCCAGTCCTGTCAGCAGCCATGCTAGGGACCAGTTGCCTTCGTCGATCACCACCTGATGGATGGCTCGCAAAGACTGCACCGTGAGCAAAGCGGCTTGCTCTGGCTGCCCTCGGAGTTGCCTCTCCAGGATCGCCCCGAGCAAGTAGTAGACCCGCTGAAGTGACTTCTGTCGATTCCAAGTTATCTTTCGGCCATGGTCTGTCAGCTGGTATGGCAGGCCATCCGTCACCCCCAAGTCGTGCTCCACCTGCTTCACGTAGCGGCGGACATGCTTCACTGGGTGCTTCTTGAGACTGCGCTTCCATCTTCTGAAGTTTCCCACAGCTTTGGCGACTCCAGTAGCTTTGTGTCCTCTGTGACTTCCGCTCGAACTCGACGCCGTCCTCTGTCGGCTTGAACTTGATGAGCTGGAGTCTTTGCTTTTCCTTCTTGAACGCCCGCGCAGCTGCTTGAAAACTCCAAGTGCAGCCAGTGCCTGCAACGTGTCTGCTGACGAGCCGCCCGCCAACTTCTGCAGCAAGCTGTCCTCTTCGTCTGCTGTCTTTCGACTCGCCCGCTGGTCTTTGGACTCCAAGAGCGCGTACTTCTTCTTCTGCTTCTTGTGCTTTTCTTTCTTTGTTAGCTTCGCCGCGACCTTGGCATCGCTTGAGCTGTCGTCGTCGTTGGTACCCCGTCCTTGCCAGCTCTTTTGCATCCTTTTCAAGTCGTCCAGGAGATCGACCTCGCCCTCGCTTGAGTCGCTGTCCGACTCGACTTTCGAAGAACGCTTGGCCACAGGCAGGGAACCAACTGTTCTCGTCGACGGGCCCGCCTCTTCCGACGCCGTGGTGAAGACCAGGTCGTGGTGGCTGTTCAGAAACTCGGACGCCGCTGCTTGCAGAGAAGCTGTTTGGACCTCCAAGGCCAGAAATGGATCCTGGCATGCTTTCCGCATGCTCGGAGTGCTCCCTTCCACCACCATGAAAGTCCTTCCTTCCAGCTCGAAACTGCCTTCTTGGTCTGTGGTTGGGCCTTCTACCCTCACCACTAGCAGCCATCTTTCAGAATCCAGTTTCTGGACGATGAGAGCTTGCCGCCAGGGTGGACCAGAGAAAGACTTGCCCACCGGAGCAAAAACCGAACTTCCCTCCTTCATGAGGCGTATGTCCTAGCTAAGCTGCCCCATCGGTCTCTGACTACACTTGACCCCATGAAAGCTGCGATTGGCGCATCGCTCGATAACATAAACAAGTCAGCATAAATTGTATTCTTTTCACTACTTAAACAAACCTTCCTGTCGGCCAGGGCTAAACCCTAAACCCTAAAACCTAAACCCTCAACCCTGAACCCCGAATCTGGGCCCAAGGGGCCAGCACAACGGGGCCAAACTTCTCGGCCACCGCCTTGATCACGGGGTAGCCTGGGAGGGGGCAGCTAGGGTTTAGGGTTTAGGGTTTAGGGTTTAGGGTTTAGGGTTTAGGGTTTAGGGTTTAGGGTTTAGGGTTTGGGGTTTGGGGTTTGGGGTTTGGGGTTTAGGGTTTAGGGTTTAGGGTTATCCGGGAGCTCCTCGGGGGACTAAGGGGGTCGTCGCCGCTCTTAGGGCTTCTAGAGTTTTGCTTCAATTGCTTGTGGGGCAGCTGCCTTTGTTCCGTCTTCCGACTTTCTGGTGGTCAAGGGCTTGGGGCTTCAAGGCCGATTTTGTGAGGGAGCTCGTCGCGTCCGAGTGCCTACCACACGTCACCAGAAAACCAAGCCCCCCATGCAACAGCGCAAGCAAAGACTGGCTCTGAGTGGCTGGTTCCCTTTTTCTGCGAGGCGTGGCGCTCTCCTCAAGTCAACGAATCAAGTCAACTTGTTTAGGGTTTCGGGTTTAGGGTTCAGGGTTTCGGGTTTTAGGGTTTAGGGTCTAGGGTTTAGGGTTTAGGGTGAGCTAAACTGCTGTGTGTGAGGCCCAATGGTCGCGGGTGAAGCCGATCATCTTACAGGTTACTGGCTTGTCAGCCTCGCACCAAACGGACGCGCGGCATCCGCCTCGGTGGCCGGTAGCCTGGCAACCTGCATCGTCGTTGAAGTCAACGCTGTAGCATTTGTGCTGGCCGCCCTTGCAGTGATGTAGCAATGCCCGGGGTCTCTGTTCGTGGCAGTGGAAGTGCGCAACATCGTTGATGCACCCCCTTCCTGCCCGCAGGTCTTGAATCAATGCGTTGCTTGCCGTCTCTTTCGTCGTGCCAAAAGGCACCGGATGCTTCATGCCGAACTGCTCCGGTCGTACGCACGAAGCTGAGACCATCAAAGATGAGATCAGTACTGGATGAATTCTGCACATGGACAAGTTGGCACACAACGGCAAACTTCCTGAATTTATCTCGGGCCTGGGCCAAGCCACAATGTCATGGTTCACATGTTTGCATGTCCGTTTGTGGCTTAGCGTACCGTCCACCGTCAAAAGAGACCGCCAGCTGAGAGAATCAAGCACATTAACGCCGGGGTGCTGAGGGTGTGGTCGCCCCCGACGACGACCAAGCGTCGCGCAATCTGCAGTCTCTGCTTGCAGGCCGCGTGGATCTCCTGCGACGGCTTCACCCGCCCTTCCAACCCCTGCAACCCTATTTTCCGGCCCCAAAAAGTACTAGAGTCGACCCGAACACAACCCCTTTGCAGTGACCCTATGCGAGCCTTCCTTGGGAAGAAGAGCCTTCAGAGCTTCGGCACCTGAGATACCTGAAGCCCCAAAAAACCGCATGGATCCAAGTCCTTTCCTGCCACCACTCAGCATCATCCTGATACGACCTCTTCAAAGTTGCAAAACCTACTATAGGGGCCTTAATGATTAGAACAGGGTTTTGGGTGTTGTTGTAGCAAGATTACAACGGCACTATGAGGGAATATTCGTCTCATTCTTCCGACCCCTACATAAAAACTCTTTCAGACGCCTCCACCACAGAAAGTCCTCCACGGCCTGCTGGATGTTGAATGGTGTGGGTGAGGCGTCACCGGTATCCACCACCTGCCTGCTGCGTCTTTATACCTATGATTGTCATGGTGAGTGTCACTATGATTCTGAATGTTGCTATTGCTTGTTAATGGCATTATCCTTCTTAATCGTGAGCTTGTGCTGACATCACGGTGCAACACACAACGAAGCGGCTTGCGCCTTTGCGGTGCAGTGGGACCTAGACCCCTGAACTTTCGCCCCTAAACTCAACTCGAACCCCCCAAACCGCCTAAACCCGAGCACCCCGAACCCGAGCCTCCCACAGAGTCCCGAAGGCGCGCCTGTCCAGCAGCGGGCGCTGCTGCTGGGTGATCCTGAATAGACCCCTAAGGCCGGAAACCTGAAATACCTGAACTCCCGGCGTTTGTCAGAGCCGAAGCCTTCAACGCCCACAGAAGGCCTTACCAACGAGCCCCCCTTTTTTTGGGGGGAGGGCAGGGTGGCCCCTGGGCCCCCCTTTTTGACCTTGGATTCTGTGCACCCCCTCCGAGGGCCCCGGCATGTAAGGCCGGATGAGCCGCGAGTTGCTGCGGATCGCCTCGGGGCCGAAGCGGGCGCCGGGCCGGAAGCCTTGGCTCTCTCAAGCAACACGACTTCATGAGGAGAAGCATGATCGTCATTCTGACAGATACCGGGATGATGACTCTGATGACTATGACAAATTCTACGATCATGATAGTAAAGACTGTTATGAGAAGGATTACAGGGGAATTGTTACTGCATAGCTTTTGTGGAGAGGGTCGGGTTTGGGCTTTTAGCGGTTTGGCACTAGGCTGTTTGGGAGGTGTTTGGGGGGGTTCCGTAGCCTGACAGTATGGGATTTAGGGTTTGGGGTTTAGGGTTTAGGGTTCATGGTTTAGGGTTTAGTGGGCTGAACCCTATGCCGTCAAGCACTCTGACAGGCCCCTCTAAAGCCTCAAACCCCGAAGCCCTGAGCCCTGAGCCCTAAGCCCTAAACCCGAAACCCTAGGCAGGAATCCCTGAACCTCAAGACATGCCTCTAAGCCTAAGCCCTAAAGGTAAACCCCTAACCCCAAAAACAAGCCCAGACTCTAAACCCCAAACATGAATCCCTCAGCCTCACCACCTAAACCCTGAACCCTAAACCCCATAGACCCTAAACCCCAAACCCTCAACTCCCAACCCGTTTGACGGGCACACCCTAAACCCTAAACCCTAAACCCGAAACCCGAAACACCCCAACTGAGTCCTGTACCTATGTTTAAGACGTCCCTTTGCCCTTGGAGGACGTCGCAACCTGATGCCGTCAAGCACTCCGACAGGCCCCTAAAGCGTCAAACCCGAAGCCCTGAACCCTAAACATGAATTCCTGAACCTCCACAACAGGCCTGAAACCTAAGCCCTAAACATAAGCCCCAAAACCCAAAAACAACCCCAAACCCTACACCCCCAACCCGTTTGAGCGGGGCACCCTCAACCCTCAACCCTCAACCCTAAACCCTAAACCCTAAACCCTAAACCCTAAACCCTAAACCCTAAACCCTGAACCCTGAACCCTGAACCCTAAACCCTTTTTTGGAGACCCGGGCCCAGGAGCTGCAGCCCGAGTCGAAGGGAACACCCAGGAAGGCGATGTCCACCTCGCCGGGCGCTCCTGAAGGTCTTTAGGGTTTAGGGTTTAGGGTTTAGGGTTTAGGGTTTAGGGTTTAGGGTTTAGGGTTTAGGGTTTAGGGTTTAGGGTTTAGGGTTTAGGGTTTAGGGTTTAGGGTTTAGGGCTTTTTTATGGCCTTTGCCTCGAAGCTTGGGGCTTAGGGTACTTAGAACTTGGGCAAAAGAGGTTTTGGGTCTAGAGTCTGGAGTTTAGTTTAGGGTATGGAGGCTTAGAATCTAGAGTTTCAAGGGTTCGGCTGGGTTGAACACCCTAAACCCTAAAGCCTAAACCCTAAACCCTAAACCCTGAACCCTAAACCCTAAACCGTAACCCTAAACCCTAAACCCTAAACCCTAAACCCTACACCCCGCCCCCCCTCCTTGCGCCCGCCCTCCTTGCGCCCAGCCTTGCGCGAGCCGAGCGGCGGGTCAGGCGCAGGTCCACCCCGCCGGCGCGGTGCCAGCGGTCTTGCGGCAGCGTCCAGAGGCCCAAGGTCCTCGGAGCGAAATTCTTGAGGTTTAGGGTTTCGGGTTTAGGGTTTCGGGTTGAGGGTTTAGGGTTCAGGGTTTAGGGTTTAAGGTTTAGGGTTTGGGGTTTAGGGTCTCGGGTTTAGGGTTTAGGGGAGCCACCTTTCACTTTCCCTCCCCGATCCAAGGCCTCTGCAAGTTTTCGCGCCTTTCCAGCCCCAGCCCCGAGGACCAAGAAAAGCCCTTCTGGGAAGTGGGGGGGAGGCCTCTACAAGTTTTCGCGCAGTCGCTCCCCCCCAAAATTCCCCAAAATCTTCTCTCTCCAAGCAGCTTCTGGCCTCCGGCCAATCGAATGCTAACCTCGCCGCGCCAGGTTTTCAGGGCTCAGGGGCCCAGCTTGTCGGTTGGGATTTCAGCTGTTTTCGGAGAGGCTGCTGCATCTTCAGAAGCGGAGTTCTGTTGTAGGCTTTGTGCGGCTTGTTGCCATGCTGCTCTACGGAGAAGTCTGGCTTCCGTTGGGAAGACTTTCCGTTTGGGCCTTTTCCTTTCTCATGAGAGGCTCTTCGAAGCCGAAACTGAACATGAATGCACAAGCTGGCTGTATTGAACACACCACCATCGCACTCTCGGTATTTCCACACTGAGCACATGTTGCAGATGATGTAAATACAAAGAATGGTCTCACACCATGACCCTAAAACCCCTGAAGCCCTAAAACCTGCCATCCAGGAACCCCCCCCCCAAGACCCGACAACAAAAACGCCGCCAAAAAGGGACCCCTCAAACCCTGGAAGCCCCTACAATGAGCCTGAGCAAACGGTGCATGGATATGTGGGGTACGAGGCTGGAGCACTGGACAAGCGCCCCCAAAGCAAACCCTAAAATCTCTTCGACCCAAAAGCACCTAAACCCTAAACCCTAAACCCTAAACCCTAAACCCCAGACCCTAAACCCTAAACCCTAAACCCTAAACCCTAAACCCTAAACCCCCACACCCCGCCGAACACCCCAAGCCAGGTGGCGGAGCCGTCCTCGGAGCTCACGGGCAGAGACAGGGCGGAGGTTCCCAAGTCCTGAATCTTCTTTTTCATGGGTGCAAAGGGCTCATGTTCCTAGGGCCCAGAGCCTACCAACAATTAGGCTCAAAACAAACCTTGAGGATGAGTTGGGGACTCGACTTTGACCCCTACTTACTCCCATTTACCCACACCCGGAACCCTAAGCCACTTACCTACAAAAAACTCCGTAGCTTCTTCTGTCGCGCGTGTTCTGGGTGTTTTGATGCTCCCAAGCTTCGTGCCAGGGGCCGCCAAGGGATACCGCGCTGCTTGGGGCACCCGGCTCTGACTGCCTTACCTGGCGGTTTTTTCGTGAGTTGCTGAGGTTTTCAGGCTTCAGAGCGCCGACGGAGTTCTGGGACCCCGTAGGGAGCTGTCCACCTGGGTGAAAAAACCGCTGCAAACCCTAGCTCCCGAGCCGGCCCTATGTTCTGAAGGACCCTCTGAATGCCCCTCGCACCACCGTTTCCCTTAAGCCGACCTCGAGGGTGGCCGCCGCAGCCGACCCGAATGATCTGAGCTCCTACAGACACGCGGGAAAGAGGCGTCCATTTCAGGCTCATCAAGGCTTCTTGATCTACTTAGGGGGGGCATCTATCTCCTTCAAATCCTATGTGTTGAAATAGTAATTTAGGTGTCCCGAAAGAGGAACCCCTACACCCTCAACCCTCAACCCTTAACCCTAAACCCTAAAATTTGACAGGCACTGTGGGATCATCAGGGGCTGAACACTGCAGGGATACTTTGTGGGATACGGTGTGGGGTGCTTCCAGGCATTCAGGGTTCAGGGTTTAGGGTTTAGGGTTGAAGGTTTAAAGATGTTTAGGGTTTAGGGTTTAAGGCTGAGGGTTTAGTAAAGGGGCTGAACACTTCAGGGCTTGCTTTTCTTGAGGAGGGAGTTGGCACTCCAGGTGCGGAAACCTGGGCCACTTGGGCAAGGAAAACACGCAGCTGAAGAATTGTCGAGCAACCCCATACGGGATGAACAGACTTATCATGATCAGCATTACCTTTTCGCTCTTGTTGTCAAGAAGCCTCCTCATTTGACCCGGCTGGCATCGAGAGATCCCAAAACATCTCCAAAAGCCTTGGCCTATAAGTCCTATAACCCTATGCGCTTTAAGACCCCAGGTGGCCCCAAACCCTAAACCCTAAACCCTAAACCCTAAACCCTAAACCCTATACCCTAAACCCTAAACCCTAAACCCTAAACCCTACACGCAGCAAGCCGCGTGGAGCTGCGGCAGCCGCGCGAAGGTGGCAATCCCCGCAAAGCCTTGGCTGGAGCCGATGTTTGAGGGAGTCTCAGGGCGTCAAAACTTCTCAAGAGGGTAAGAAGGGCAATCAATAAGGGCAATAATAAAGGCAATAAGAGGGCTTTTCAAGAGGGTCTTAAAGAGGTTGTTGCGTTTAGAGAGGGTCTTAAAGAGGGCTTCTTAAGGGGGTGTTTTGTAAGAGGGTTCTTTAGACGAGGGTCTTTTTACGAGGGTTTTCAGGTGTAGGGGAGGTACTTCGGGTTCGGGGTCCTCAAGTTAGACAGCCCATTCACCCTTCAAGCCCCAAACTCCTAAACCCGACGCGGCCACAATAATTTTCATGGGGTAGTTGGTGGCAACCAGTGATATCTGTAGTTCCCCTACGTACAACCTACCCAGGAGCCCCCTTATAAACCCCTCAGCTAACAGTCAAGACTCTTTTGAAACAAAACCGTCCTCAATCAGCCGTTTCGCCCCTCAAGGCATTACCATCTCCAAACCCTGCCCTCAACCGCCCTGACCCCTGGAACCTCCAACAAAGATGGGTGTGTCCCACTGTCCTACAGTAGGGGCCAGGGGTGCAGACTCCACAGTCCGCATTCCACGCTCCACACTCCACACGCCACACGCCACACGCCACAGGCCGCACCCCACACCCCACCACACACATCCACACTCACCACACCAACACCTACACCAACACCAAAGCCACCACCACAGAGCACCACACTCCACACTCCACCAACATCACAACCACCACACTCAACTCTCCGTCACACACCCAAAGGAGCTCTCCAAAACACACGCACTCATGCAGACTGCGATCGATAACGCAACGACCGCCTTATTACCCTTATTACCCTTGTTACCCTTGTTACCCTTATTACCCTTATTACCCTTATTGCCCTTATTGCCCTTACTACCCTGATGAAAGCCTTATTCCCCAATTGCCCCCCTTAAGCCTAAACCCCCGCATGTCGCGGCCCGAGCCGCGTGGGTGCTTGGACGGGGCCACCGGCCCCAGAGGGGCCCCGGGGCCGTCGCGGCGCAGACGCACCAAGCCGGCATGCTCCTGGCTGAGAGGTTCATTCAGGGTTTAGGGAGTTTAGGGTTTAGGAGAACTGGGGTTTCTATAGGGGTTTCGGGGTTTGGGGGTTTGAGGTTTTGGGGCTTTAAGGTTTTTGATTCAAAACGGGCTGAGGCACTTGAGGATGTTCTTTCATCTAGCGAAACATAGCAAGACCTGAGGTGACAGTCTCTGAAGCAGGGTCCTCAGTGACCAGCGGATCCTGCTTCTCAGGTGGGTCCTGGAGACGCGGAGGTCCAAGGCTTGGCTACTTGCTATTATACGGGCTCTGATATTTCGCTCTCTGAACCCATGGAAAAGCAGCATCTAAAGGTGCCCCCCCGCAACTTTTTATGCAAACATGCTTGACTTACCTGTGCAGCACTTTTTAGCATGCTTTAGAGAACAGCCGTGTTCGCATCCCGCAATCGCAAAAACACCCTAAACCCTAAACCCTAAACCCTAAACCCTAAACCCTAAACCACGAGGAGCCAGCCAGGCTGGGTGCTCCTTCGGCAAGTCCGAGGAGCAGGCGCTCACGCTGAGTGCCCCCGAGCCTGCTCTCGATGATGCCGCCATGTATACATATACAGCTCTCTGTTAACAAAAATGATGTGCTTATTTATACATATATGTATATATGCATATGCAGCTAAATGTATATAGGCGTGTGTGTGTGTGGGCACCTGCAGGCCCATCCCGGAACACCCTTGAAGCTGTGAGTTCGCCACTTCAGCCCCTCGAAAAGTGAGGATCTTGCACAGCCTTGCATCTCTTCGTGAGCTTGCTCTATTTTTGTGCCTTTTCGGGTTTACGCCGGTGGTTTGAAAGGTTTGCATCCTCAAGACAATCCTCGCCAAGCATGGAAACCATTGGCTTTCCGATACTCCATGTGTGTGAGAGAGAGAATGCATATTATGAAAAGAAGACCACCCCATGCTTTTCGAGAAGCGCACAGGGTTCAGGGATCATTTCGCCTAGAATTCTGTTCGGAACCCAAAGCACGACTCCCTCTTTGAAAACTTGCAAGTCTCAGGGTTCAGATGGGTTCAGGGTTGGAAGGGCTTGCTAGGGGGAGGGCCTAAACCCGAAACCCCAAACCCTGCGGGAACGTAACGTATGCCCAGCTGCCCACGCCTCTGGCACCTCGCCGCCACTGCCAGGGCAGAGTCGCCGGCTGGGCGCCGAGGAGGCTGGGCGTCCACTCGAAGTCCTCTTCTTCTTTAATACGAACGTAAATTTAAAGAGTATAGGGTGTAGGGGAGGAATATGGTATCCCGTACTTGTAGGGAAAAATGTGTTCTCCCCTGTTTAGCAAACAGACAACAACGTGGGCCCTCCGACCCACCTCAGCCGAATCAAGTTGCGAAGAAGATGCGCTTGAAAGCTTCGAGGCAACACTTTTGGCTAATGCCAGTTCCGTGCGACATGATGTTCATGCAGCTTGGTATGAGTGTTCCACAACGGCGTTCTGCAAAAAGGGGGTTCAATTGATGCCAGGATTGCATCCTCATGCCCATGTCGCTTGATAGTCAGCATTGTGGTCACTTAGACACATATAAACATTTTTTTGCATTATATATATATATATATATAGAAGGCCCCGAATGTGATGTTGCAAGTTTGGATATGCCGTGCCGTCGACAAGCGCTTTTCCACAGCTGCAGTGCTCCCTTCATCTCCCCAAGCCCCAAGAAATCCGACCCCACGAAAGCCCTCGAACCCCTGAGGCACCTCCTTCAAAATCCTTCAAAACGGAATTGTTTGCCTGTTTTTGCCCCTTGTTGCGGTCCCCCCTGCCTCCTCACGCCCCTGAGAGAGGAGACATGGGTAACAGCTGCAGACATACGCCCACCTCAGCGTGCAAATGGCTCCCGACGCTTGTGAAACAAACCCTGAATTGCTAAGGAGCTGCGAGTCAATTCATTCTCGGAGTTGCTCGGGTCTACAACGCATCCGAAGCAAGCCCAACCAGAGGGTCAGCTGTAAATTGTTCTTGCGACTTTCCCTTGCTTTACACTCAACACACTTCGTTGCAATTTTCTGTGAAACTTTTTTCTCTTCGAGAATGTCAGACGTGTCAGAGAGGGCTTGCAAAGGCTTTGCCACCCATCTGCATTTGGGGAACTAACGGATCTGGGGTAAGGTTTAAGGCATGTCCGCAGGGCCCTTCGACACATTTCATATTTCGGCACCGAAGCAGTGGCAAAAAGGTAGCAAGGAATCAAAGGTTGCATCTAGTATCTAAGATTATCTGAGCACACAAAAACTGGCAGCTAACCGAGCCGGATGTTGCAGCTGCGCGTAGGACCCTCAAATTGTCTCCGAAACATGGCGATCGATCTACGAACAGCCGAAAGATGAAACATGCCAACATCGCACAAAGCAACTTGTCGGCACTGCAACGGCAGCCCGAACGCGGCTTCGCCAGTGGGTCATGGCCGGAATCCATGAGAACAGCCCACAGCGGGCCCTGCGACGCAGGCGAAAGCTGAGACACCCAAACATCTTTACGTTGCCGGCATGCCTCTGCGAATCATATGAATGAACTGCAACGGAACCAAGCCATCAAACTGCTTTCGCCCTTTGAAACAAAAATGCTGAAGCGGAAACATACTGAAAAACCCTGGACACTGCGGTCTCTGCCTCGGCATTTCCATGGACATGGCCGGCAATGGCCAGTACCCGACGCATGGCGAGAGACCAGGAGAAGCACTTCAGGAGCTCTCCAAATGCAGCTTCAGTATGAGCAACCAAAAACTTGGAATTACCAAGGCTGCTGTTGTTGCTGCTGTTGTGGTGATTTTTCACAATCGTATCTCAAAAGCTCATTATGACTCTCCGGGGTAGCTCTGAACAACATGCGGGGCATGGGTGGAGACTTTCTCTTTGTGGAGATCGACGAAGCAGACCGCCCCCCCAAAACCTGAAACAGATGTCGCAAACCATGCCCTGCCCCGAAAGGTCCCTTGTACCTACATAGCCCCCCGTTGACCAATCGAATACCTATTTCCTGAAGATCACTGATCCAGTAAGTCTTAGGCACCAAGAGGGTCTTGCTTTTGGGGAACCGGCAACCCATTACGACCCGAAACTTGAAGCTGTCGATCCTTCCATGGAAGATTCGAGTCTTGTCGTAATGTCAGGTCCGTTTTCGATGTGTTCTTCCCTGCACCATCATGCGACATCTTCGGAAAGTGCCAGCAGCAATGCTTTGACCCAAGCTGTACAAGCGGGATGCCCTTTTGAACAAGTCTTGAGCACAGCCACCAAGCAGGAGCGGCACACGACAAGCAATCAGTTGAGATGCGACCGCAACGGTCATCGACACGGCGGACCATATACTGGGTGACCATGCCAGCTACCTGATCACCTGAGGTCACGACTCGGAGACGTGGGTTGGGGGCACCTAGCCATGGACATCCATATGATTCCGAAGCTTCGGGGAGTAGGATGATAAGGGCTGCCGAGGGTCAGGCATCAGGCATCGGAGGGGATCTGTTGGCTAAGCCAGGGCGCCTCTTCTTGTCGGCTCACCGCTTGTCACGATCCTTGCCCGCCATTCTTTGCCGCATTCGGTGCGCCAGGAACCGGGAACGATCATGCACAAATCGCGCGGCACGGGCCTTCCTCACTAATACTACTACTACTACTAGTACTACTACTACCACGACCACCACTACTACTACTACTACTACTACTACTACTACTACTACTACTACTACTACTACTACTACTACTACTACTACTACTACTACTACTACTACTACTACTACTACTACTACTACTACTACTACTACTACTACTACTACTACTACTACTACTACTACTACTACTACTACTACTACTACTACTACTACTACTACTACTACTACTACTACTACTACTACTACTACTACTACTACTACTACTACTACTACTACTACTACTACTACTACTACTACTACTACTACTACTACTACTACTACTACTACTACTACTACTACTACTACTACTACTACTACTACTACTACTACTACTACTACTACTACTACTACTACTACTACTACTACTACTACTACTACTACTACTACTACTACTACTACTACTACTACTACTACTACTCCTGCTACTACTACTAATAGTAGTACTACTACTACGGCAAGCGAGCTCTACTCATTGCGGGCGATTTGCACCTTGTTCGATCTCATCACCAGCAACCTCGAAAATCCCAATGGGAAGAACTTGGAGGTTGCGGAGAAGCTCTGGGCTGCCTTCAGTGTCAAAGTGAGCTCCGATCCCAGGAGTTGCCTCCAAGTACACTGGCAAGCCGAAGCCCAGAGGGCCAAAGCCTCCCTAGTGGTGTTTGGGTAACAAATGGCGCCTCCAGCACGTTTTGGTAGTGTTCCGATTTCTAGACCGCCTCTCGCGCCATATGTACCTCCAATGGTACCTGAAGCACCAACAGACCTCCCGTGGCATGTGGACCTTCAATGGCACCTCGAGCTTTTTGGTGCTTTATTCCCTGGACCACTGTTGAGCCGGCAACAGCTTACGCCTATGTCCGCAAAGTCGAAGCCTCCAGTCGTTAAGCCAAGACCACGGGCCCCATGTGCAGCAGATGAAAGAGTAAATCCGCTAATGCAGCAGAGCAGCTTGGTGGACTTACCAGTGAAGCACGAAAGCTTGGTAGGTCTGCTAGTACACCAGGGTTGAGCAACGTGAGAACTGGAGTGATGCGTGTCACAAAAACCGAAGTAGAGTGCAGCAGCCAGCATGTGAGCTTTGCGCGGCGTGCGAGAGGAGAGTGCTTTCCAAGTGTTCTTTGAAAAAAAGAAATCGTTTATCACCTGCTTTCGGGTTGAACCTGGGTTCCCGAACTAATAGTTTAACAGTTTGGGTTCGAACCTGGGTTCCGAACCGGTTGAACCTAGTTTTCCAACTCTCAGGCAAACCCAGCTTCAACCTGGTTTGAACCTGGGTTAAACTCCAGGTTCAACCCAGTTTGAACCTCATTATTCTTGTTATTGAAAAAGTAGAGAAGAGAGAGAGGAGAAAAGTCTAAATTTCACCCCCCTTGTTTATTGTTGTTTCTTGTCTTTGTTATTTGAAATTCGAAGTTGAGAATGAAGAGAACCACAATCTAAGCGGGCGGGGGGGGCGCAGTCCCCCTATTGGAAATCAGACAAGTTGAGAATTGATAAATTCTGTCTATGGGTTTGAACCTGGGTTTAAAACCAGGTTCAAACCTGGGTTTAAACCAAACTGGGTTTGAACCTGGGTTCGAACCTGGGCCAGGTTCGAACCTGGGTTTGAACCTGGGTTCCAAACCTGGGTTCCTGATTTGTTGTTGCTCCCTTCCCCCCACCGGTGGGTTGTTTGAACCTGAGTTCAATCAGGTTGGACGGAACCGTCGTGATTTACGAAAGCTGTAGCCTGAAATCCCTGAATGCTCAATTTGGCTCAAGTGTATCGTCTGGCAAGCTTGACATTCCATGTTTGAGTGGCGCAAATGACGCATCAGATGGACGACCATGGCTAAAAAAACGCAAGACTGATGTTGCAAACCTTGATTGGATTGGGTGTTGTTGCGATCTTGATGCGTTGAAAGCTTCCACGCGGACAATTCAAGCTTACGGGTTTCGTCAACGCGAGAGACACCAACGGGTGCAAAGTGAAGCCAGAAATCGCAACACAGTGCAGTCCAAGCTGTACAACAGAGTGCAACTTACAGTTCCACAGTCTATGACTGCATGCACTCTGTTGATTTCTGTTGCAATTCAATTTTGCCTAGAAATCGCCTGAAGTTGTGTGCTCCTTCTCAGAGAGAGCCTTCTGACGTAACACCTTTTGTAAACCGAACAAACGAAGGCTGTAACACGCGATGATATTTTCTTGAAGCGGACGCCCCTTTACCACATCAGCAGCACAGTGGGCCACTATTGCGACAGAGACAACTAGTTTGAGAGTCAAACTATGCAAGCCAGCGAGCGTGAAAGAAGTTGTGACTACAAAGAAGCAACCGCTAGCGCAGAGGCCCTTATTGCAAAACAACTTTACGCAAGGCCAGCAAGGTGACCAATGCAAACAAGAAACTGCCGGCACCAATCACAAAGCTGCCCGTTACCCCATAGCAATGCTGCACCACGTCTGGCAGACATGAAGCGAAAAGAAAGTCTGGGTAGGTTAAGGCAAGGAACCTCCGTCACCTAAACTGCCCAACTTTTTTTTTTTGGACTGACGCCCCTTTACTACATCAGTAGCACAGTAGGCCGGTCTTGTTGGGCTCGACGTAACGGGTGAAACGAAGTCAGCGCGCGCAAACCACCAAAAACACCACACAACCACCCACGAGACAAAGAAACAGAAGCAACAAAGCGAGCAAAAGCGCTGAACTACTAGGTAACCCCACGCACTCAGTACTCGAAGTCGTCGTTGAAGTCCCGGTGCAATCATACAGCACAGAGCATGCGGGGAGTCGCAAAATGCGACACTGCCAGATTCTCAAAACCACCATCATGTAGCTACTGGTGCGACATCATTCGGCTCGACTCGAACCAAGGTCATCACTCGATAGTCAGGATCCCGTACTCGTCGTCAAGGACAGATAACAGACCCGCATCGGCAAAGGGATGGTACAGGTCAGACTCCCCAAAGCAGAGGAAAGACGTGCGTATGCCCCATGGTGGTCAGCCAGTGGGGACTTAACAGCAAGAACAATCCAGGCAAGACCGGCCCAGGGCACTCCATGGTGGTCAGCCAATGGAGCAGCCCCGAGCGAAAGGTCCTCCTCTCACCCTGGCATGCAGCTGCGCCCACTTAGATAGATGTCCGCGCACAAGCACAGTTTCATCAGACAGCCAAAGGGGAGGCCACACACGCAAGCCCGAAGGCTCGCCGGGGTCTCGGAGACTGCAATCTGGTCGGCAATGGTCCCTCCAGGGCCCAAGCCAATAAGGTACGTCGGCAAGGAGATGTGAGTGCTCACATCACTTTGGCAGCCTGCAAGAGCGCTAAGATCTCCGTGGTATACACAGCTTTCGTCCAGGCGACGCCGTCAGATAGCATCCAGGCGGGCGGAGATCCTGCCTGTCCTGCCACAGGCCAAACACAGGCGATGATGGCCCTCTTGAAGGCCAAATTATTCCACAGGTGATGGCTCCTGGCCAGGGCAGTAGGTGCATATTCGGCCGTCAGGATCCCGTACCCATCGTCCAGGACAGATAACAGACCCGCAGTGGCAAAGGGATGTGACAGGTCAGGCTCCCCAAATGGAAAGACGTGCTTATGCCCCATGGCGGTCAGCCAGTGGGGACTTAGCAGCAAGAACGATCGAGGTAAGACCGGCCCAGGGCACTCCACGGTGGTCAGCCAGTGGAGCAGCCCCGAGCAAAAAGTCCTCCGCTCACCCTAGCTTGCAGTTGCGCTCACCTGGATAGATGTCCGCGCGCAAGCAAAGTCTCAACAGAAAGCCAGAGGGGAGGCCACACACGCAAGCCCGAAAGCTCGCCGGGGTCTCGGAGACTGCAATCTGGTAAGCAATGGTCCCTCCAGAGCCCAAGCCAATAAGGTACGCCGGCAAGGAGATGTGAGGGCTCACATCACTTTTGGCAGCCTGCAAGAGCCCAAGATCTCCATGGTATACACAGCTTTCGTCCAGGCGACGCCGTCAGGTAGCATCCAGGTGGGCGGAGATCCTGCCTGTCCTGCCACCGACCAAGCATATGCGCTGATGGCCCTTTTGAAGGTCAGGTTACTCAGTGGGTGCATATTCTTCAGGCAGAAGTGCCCGCAACCTGGGAGAAGCAGCACCACCGCATTGGCCTCTCCAGAGTCGTCATTCGGCCGAGATACCCCAAGGGGGAGGACCGCATTGCCATGACTCACTGTGAGCCAAGCGTTGTCTCGTCCCGTGATGAGCGATGGGGCAACCAGTGTGGGCGGCTGCTGGGTCAAAGCCGAAGGGTTCTTGTAGTGCCATGGCACAGAAAAGGCAACCTACCCGGTCAAAGAGGGGCGGAGGAGAGGAAGACTGGGCAGTCTTACCTTGGACATAACACGCTGAATAATCAAGGCAAGACCAGCCCAGAGTACTCCATGGAGGCCGGCCAGTGGTGCAGCCCCGAGCGAGAGGCACTCCACGCCACTAGGCTCACCGCAGCGCCCACCCAGGAGGGTGTCCCCGTCCCGACAAGTTGCGTCAACCAGCCAGAGGGGAGGTCAATGCGCGTCAGTAGCGACCGGTTCCACTGGGGGAAACGCCAGTCCTTGCACATAGCGGAGCAGTGGACCTCAGGGTTTGCCGATGTGGCATGAATCCTTCCTTCCGCAAGGCAAGAGGAAACGGCAGGGTCAACTACCAGGGCCGAGGGCTCAGGCACCTTGAAGTTGTACACCTCACCACAGTCGCCGAGGCAAGTTGGGGTGCCATGGAAACTTCCTATTACAAGCGTCCGCGCGCCCCATGGTGGTCAGCCACTGGGGACTTACAAGTGAGCACTGCAGACCAGCCCAGGGCTCCCCATGGTGGCCAGCCAGTGGGGCAGCCGCGAGCCGCAGCCAAGAGCAGCAGGCTTATTGGGGGCTCCCAGTACGGAAGCCATTGAGTAGCGACAGCTACCGATTCAGATAACACAGTCCAGTGGTCCCACCCATGCGATCAGGCGGGTGTGAAGGATTATTGCCAAGGGCCTTCCCAGTCAGGGCGTCGTGGGCGGTGGCCTGCAGAGACAGCATGGGCCCGCCCTCCTGATACTTGTGGCAACTCCTCCTCGCTAACCCCCCACTCAGGGATGCCAGTTGGGATGGAGCCCCCTATGTGTCGCTTCATTGAGGCTTGGGCTGCACGCCACATCGTCCGGATGGCATCCTGTATTTGCCGATATTGCACCACACCTTCGTCCCGATCCTGAAAGGGGAAGGTGGTAAGCGCGGCCGCGAGGGCCGAGGGCTCGGGCTCCTTGGGAGTGCCATGGCAGTACAACTTGAACCAGAAGCTGTTGAGTTGCTGCTTAGTTGGATGCTTGGATCTTGCGAGCCCCTTGAGGGCAGCCCAATGAGCAGTGGCAGCATCATACCACGCATTCCTGGAACGTTGGGGTCCGTGCCTATTAGGTGTTGTGCTGAGCCCTTTCCAATGCTCATCGTCAATGACCGGCAGCCGAAAAGGAGCAGCAACGTCCACTTCTCGCAAGGCCGCAAGGTCAGTAGTTCGCAGTTCAGAGAAACGCCAATCGTGCACCTGCGCCTCTGGTTCGTCCGCTTCCTCTGCCAGGTCCTCCATCGATGCGGGAGACACAGATTCCGTGCCGGAAGAGACACTGTACACATCCGGCGAAGTTTGGACCTCGTTCACACCCGCGGTTTCGCCACGGGGCGAGGCAAGTAGGCTTTCCAAGGGCAGCACACGCCGGAGGAAAACAGCCATCCGAGCAGTGGTGTCTGGCCATTCCAGGTTAAAGACGGACCAGAAGTGCTCAATGTTCTGATTGGCCACCGAGGCTGCTAGGGCGAGCCTGATGGCCTCAAGAAAATGGGCAGGGGGCAACTCCGGCTTAAACTCTTGGTATTGGCGCTGCCCAAGCGCTTGTGAGCCCTGCAGCGAAATTCCAAGGAACGCATTTAGGCTAGGCTGCTGTGCGAGCCTGGCCGCCTCCATATCCGTGTGTTTGGCGGCCTCCGCCCATGCCTGCAAGGCCTCCTGGGACACCTGCCCACTGACCTGAGGGAGTCCGCTACTCGGCTCCACCGTGTACTTGGTTGTAGGGCATGTAGGCAGCCGATAAGCGCGGCCGGCAAGGAAAGCCACCATGGCCGCTGGCGGCACTTGACCTGAAGGTCAGTAATCCTGTGGTCGGATTCGGGAAAGCCCACAACAATGGGCAGTCCGGCCGTGCGCTCCAGGGGGCCTTTTTGGTGGGACTCAAATGCGAGCAGGAGCGCACCCAGCCAATAATCCGGGTCAGATTAGCACATCATGGCCGGAAAGCTGGCGTTGATGACGCTCGGCATATCCGCCACCGCGAAGAAAAGATCCGCAATATACTGGGCAGTGGTCAGGAAACCATACCCTACCAGGGACTCCGAGAGCCTTGCTTTATCTAACTGCGGAACCGGGCAAGCCAACATATTCGCAAGGTCAACATATTGCAGCGCTCCCGACAATCGAAGGCATTGCGCAATGATGGGGTCGTAGACCTTCAGATAAGATGCCGGGAAAGTCTCAGGCAAATGAAGAAGGGTGTCTGCGATTTGTATCAACGCGCCCGAATCCTGCAGCTGGTGCGGTAAGCCATTTAACAACTCTTCATAGGTCCTATATGCACGAAGCTGCTGGCAATGCGTCGTGAGATGATTCGAGTCACGCAGGCTCATGTAGGGTCTAGGCTTGACATTCTTCCCAAAGTGATGTCCTGTTTGGAGCGCACGCCACATGAGCCCACAGACCGATGTTGTTTTGCCCTGCATTGGGGGCGTATTGGCAGAGATGCTGGGATCGCGAGTGGTGCTGGGTTCGCTTGGCCCTCTCGGTTTGGATTTTGGCGGTTCCAGCGGCTCTTGAGAACCATCGTGATCCTGTGCGAGGGGCCGACTTTCCTTGCGGACCTGGGCAATGGGCACCTGCCGAGCAGCGATGGGGGCCAAGCCAGGGGGAGCTTCAACAATCCACGAATCAACTTCCAGTGCTCAGCATGCGCTGCCACTTTAGCCGCCCATTTCACCTTATCGAAGCGGTTCCAACCTCGATAGCGGAACCGACAACCCGTGGTGCACGGCGTAGAGATGTGGCAGTAAATCCTTGTCTGCAAACTGCTCTGCAACACTGAAAAGATTTCCGACAGGAACTGCTGGGTGGACTTCGCACAGAAATCCATTTGCTCGGTCACACCGACATACGCAATCTTCTTTTCCTCACACGCACGCTGCAAGCTGCCTTCAGGTCGACAGAACAACTCAACAACCAAGAACGGTATCTTGTTGCTTGCAATTTCAGCACACAGGTCTTGATATTCCACCGGCACCCAAGAGCCAGTCATCCCTGTCTCATCACTTTCAAGCAAATCAACGTCAAACTCTCCAAGCACTTCATGGAAAGGGACCAAACCTGTGACCTCATAGAGGTTTTCAAGCTGATTTGGTTCTGTCATGCTTTTGGTGAGTCCATCCGCGGCGTTGTACTCTCCCGGCACAAACTCCAGACGAACCCGGCCGGCCTGGACCATTTGTTGCAGATACGCGCACCTTAATTCCAGGTGCCGGACTCGACGCAGGAGCGCTATGGCCTTGGCCGATTCCGAATCGGTCCTGATGTGGATGACGAACGTTCCACTGACCTCGTCTTCCGGGAGTCCCTCCAGAAAGGACTGCTGCAACAAGCCAGCAAACAACGCTTCTTTGACGGTCTCAACCAACGCACTCAACTCAGCCTCAGCACTACTCAGCGCAACAACTGATTGCTTTCGAGAGAACGATTTCAACATGTTCCCTTGCCAACTCAACACTGCCCCGGAAACCGAAGGCAAATTCCAGCTGGCATCACAAAAGCAATCGATGACGTGGATGTCCGAAGATGGCTCGTAATTGATCCAAGTCGCAGGAATCTGCTGCACCTGATCTTTCAAGCTCAGAGTCCACTTCAACACCGCACGCATACAGGCCTCACTCCTGGAATCCGGATTGGACTGCGAGCGAGCCAGGAAACCTACCGCGAACTGCAAATCAGGCCGAGTGAGGGCAATCCAGCTGAGCTTCCCCAGCACTCTGCGAGAGCGCTGATAAGCCTCTTGCGTGATAGGCTTCTCCTCAAGACTCTTCCAGAGCCTTTCCAACTTTGGGAGCTTCGCCTCCTTGGTAATCTTGTACTCTTCAGCACACGACTTCAACATGCCTGGCTTCAGACCGAAAAACAAACTTCCATCCTTCTTCTGATAGATGTTCCGGCCAAGAAAAGCAATCACAGATGCTTTACCAGGTTCCAAAGCTCCAGTCCGCTTCATTTTGAAGACTTTGCTCAGATCCGCGAAAACTTTTTCCGCGACTTCCGGACTCGTGCTGAAAACCAAGATATCATCAACATACGCCAAAACAAGTACAATGTGATCCGTGCCTTTCCACCGATACACTTTGCGGTACACAGTGCTGTCGGCCGTCACCTTGAACCCTTGTTTCCGCAAGGTCTCACCAAGCTCTCGAAACCAAGCCAAGGGCCCAATACGCAACCCGTTCATCGCACGCTTCAGCAAGCAATGCACCCAACTGCCATCCATCATGCGGCAATTTTCCGGTAACTTCACCACCTCGGTGGTAAACAGCCGGGCTTGCATAAAGGCAACACTAATGTCCCCGCTGATCACTTTTCCGCCAAAATACGCGTACATGCCAAGGAGACAACGGACCGATTCCAGGGTTGTCGTTGGGCTGTAGATGCCATCAGCCAATGCTGACGTGGATCCTTTGAAGTCTCGGACCACCAAACGACACCTCACACGATCATGTCCATCCTTGTAATGAAGGACCCATCTGGTGCTCAATACACGTTTTCGGTCGGATTTGACGAGTGTCGTGGCCTCCCGTGCAGAGATGACCTGACACACGCCAAAGTGATCAAGCTCTTCCATCTCGAGCTTCATCCCCTCTTTGAGCTTGCCCTGCTCGAGGAGCTCACCGGTGTACTCGTCGGCCGCGCCGACCGGCACCGCAACGGTGATCTTAGAGCCACCGAAGCGCAGGGTGAAGCTCAACTCGCTCGAGGCCGAGGGGCGTGAGGTTTGGGGCGGGCGGGTGGCACAAACCACATCATGCGCAACGCGCAACACGTCATCACGCTCAAACAAACACTGCAGCGCATGATCCTGCAACCAATCAATAGCCATTTCAATGGCTTCATCGCCTTGCTCAGGCTCTGCCTGCATTTCCGCGTCCGCGTCCGGCATCACGTTTTCCCCAACAGGAGACACCGGCAGCTCCGGCTCAGCTTGCATGCCTTCGTCATCCGTGGGAACAATGTCGTCCATATCAATATCAGGCGCCTCCATCTCAGCAACATCCGGCACAAGTTCTTGCCCTGTCCCCCTCTCAACCAGATCCCCCGAAGGTTCACCAGGATTGTATTGTCGAGGCGGCTCGAGGTCGAACTTGATGGGCCGGTTTTCAATGTTGTCTTGACGCGACGGAGCCCCTGAATCAGCAACTTTCTCAACCGTCAGCTCAGGATAGACAAACGGGAGGTCCGGGCGAAATGCAGAACCATAACACACTTTATCCGGGCGGTCCAGTGGGATGTAGCGCACACCTCCGCCGTTTACACGGCCTGGACCCAGATAGAGACATTTTACCAGTCTTTTGCCCCTATCTTCTTGACCAACTTTCACAGGCTTCACAAAACCTTGGCAAGCAAAAGGGTAGGTTCGCGTCTGAGGCATCCTTTGCCTACGCAACCTTTCCAGCGGCGTGGACTGGGAAGCACCGACGCAAAACAAATTCCTTGTCCTCGTCACATACCGGATGCATTCCTCATACAACAAACCGCCCAACTTCAACTTCTTTCCCATCGCTTGCTCCACAGTCAGCCAATTCACCCAGAAACTTTCCTTGAAGAAACGAACATGAACTTCGACTAGGCCTTTGGCTTGTGGTCGATTGGGTGGCGCCAAGTCCAAGTGCATAGACAGTCCTGGGAAGGTCTTGTCTCTAGCCACCTTTCTCCAGAGGGCAATCAAGCTTGCCTCATTGTCCATTCTCATAACCACATGCTGTCCTTGAACACCAATGGCCGCCAACTCTCGAATCAAACCTTGAACCAACTTAGCCATGCCTTGACCAATTGGAAAGGGAAAGCTGAAGGAGTATCCACTAAGCTCATGCACCACCGTGCAGCCTCTCAACTCCTTGTTGAAGAACCAAAAATCCGTCAAGAACGATCCCAACGGAATCTCGGGGTCCTTCCTCCGTCTTGCCGGGATAACACCCCGTGATGACACGCAGATGTCACAGTCAGGCGAGTATGGCTGATGACCACAGGCAACATGATTCATATACCACCGATCAGACGGTGGAACATAGACATCATTCCCATCATCGGGAGGCACATCGGGGATCAACTCTTCTTCCCCGTCACCCCTAGGGTCTGATGGTTCAAAGGCGGGTGCTCCCCGGTCTCCTGCCGGATCCTGGCCAACCCCCTCTTGCCCGTCTACATCTATCACCACTGGCAAACCTCGCACAACTGAACCCGACATTTCCAATCTCAACGCACAAACGCGCTCAGAGCACTCAACCACTGGCACAACGGCATCACAACCAGTCGCAACACAACCAAGATCATCCAAGGCACAACACTGCGACGGTTCACAACCAGCCATGCTCAATCTCAGATCTTTTGATTCGTCCTGAGGTTCCCTTCTCGATACCTCCTTTCTTTGGTCACTATCATCATGTTCAATCAACCAAGGACACACGCTCAAGCCATCCGGAAACATAAACGACGCACGACGTACGACGACATGTCTGCCTACCGTGGTCTCACACTGCACAACCGGATGCAAACGCTGTCCTACTTCAGCAGTCACTGTTATACGTCCTCGACCTAGGCAATGCACAACAGGTGACCTTCCTACGCTGCCTACACAACGCACAACAGGTGACCTTCCTACGCTGCCTACACAACGCACAACAGGTGACCTTCCTACGCTGTCTACACAACGCACACCAGGTGACCTTCCTACGCTGTCTACACAACGCACAACAGGTGACCTTCCTACGCTGCCTACACAACGCACAACAGGTGACCTTCCTACGCTGTCTACACAACGCACACCAGGTGACCTTCCTACGCTGTCTACACAACGCACAACAGGTGACCTTCCTACGCTGTCTACACAACGCACACCAGGTGACCTTCCTACGCTGTCTAACAGGTTCAAGCACTGCACAACCGGATGCAAACGCTGTTCTACTTCAGCAGCATAGGGACCTCGGTCTAAACCTTTCATTCCAGTGCGATCAATCGGCTTCAAGCTTGCACCAAACAGCCGCTCCGTCTTCTTTTTCCACCGTCTCCGAAGCTTCCGAATCCTTTGTGACCTCAGATTGAGGGGCTCCGACTCCTCGGTCTGGAGGAAGACAACAAACTGTCCAAGACACCAGGTGATGCCGAAGGCTTTGGCTTTGCCTTTGCCACTTTCGGCGTTGGTCTCAAAGGAACAAACACCTGTGAGGGCTTCGGAGCGGTGAGCGGAATCGACGCCGGCGGCATAAGGTCCGGGTGTGGCGTCGACGGTGGAGGTAGCGGCGTCAGCGGTGCTCGTGGCGGTGGTGTCATCGGTGCCATCGGTGCTGGCATCATGGGAGCAACTGGAGGTTGCTGTGTTGCGGTTCCACCACAACAAGCCCCCATCGGTGGTGGAAACCACAATGTAGAGCTCCCCACATTGATTGAACGCCAAAGATGTTGAGGAACTCCCGGTGGCTTCGGTAGTACCTCGATCTTGGGTGGCGGCATCAAACCGGCTGGCCATTCCGAAGATGACCCCTTTGGTGGGGTCTTTGGCCCCTTTGGTGGGGTCTTTGGCTCCTCCAGGTAGGACGCCGTGGCCATGAAGTTCTGGAACCGCATACGAAGAAAGGAGGATTCCACCAAAGTGACGCCTCCAGGATTGTCGGATCCTCCCTCTGCCGGCAGGATACCGATTTCCTCCGCCGTATGCGCCTCTTCTTCCACTTCCATGGCTCCTTCTGCAGGCATTGACGTAGCCGGAGCCATGGATGGCCAATCCTCCCATATCCCGCTGGCATCCAGCTCTTGGCGGGCTTTCCACACACGTGGATCCCACATGGCAGGATTGCTTCGAGGAGGCACAGGGCGTTGTACCATCTTCGGCTTCTTCGCCGGCGCCGAATCCTTGGCTGGCTTCCAATGCCCCCAAGCCTCCTCTTCGTCGTCTGAACTCGGAGGAGGTACGTCCCGGGAGCTCGAAGAAGGAACCTTTGCCTTGGCCGCATCTCTCCTTCCGAACATCGGTGGGGATGGTGGTGCTCTGAAGCCTGAGGAAGCACCAGGATTTGGACCAGGATACATCGATCCTGCAGCCCTTTCGCTCGCAGAGCTCCACGTGGATCGTCCTTGGCAGTCGGCGTGGAACGCGCTGTTCCAACATGCCACGTATCCGGCAATGGTTGCCTCGGAAATGGCACTGGCGCCAACACTCCTCTCCAAATGTAGTTGGGCTCCGGAATGGGGCTGTCCTCCCTCGACAATCGTTCCGCCTGCCTCTTCGACACCATTGCTCCTAAGTCCATGCCTTCTCCAGGAACCATGATGGGCGATGGCGGAGGTGTCGTTGGCTCGGAAGTCACCTCGACCACATCGTCGGCAACCAAAGCTTCTTCTTCCAATTCCTCCATTTCCAGCACGGAGTTTCGGAGGTCGCGGGTTTCCCGGGCACCCAGATTCTGGAGCTCTTGTCGAAAAGCCCCCGCATCTGGTTCGGGAGCCCCATCTACCAGGGCCTCTTGCCTCAACCTCCTCAATACTCCACGTCTGCGGCGCCGCCCCATCTTCTGAAGCTTCTCCAGATACCGACTCGGAGCATCGGTACTCCGAGGGCTTGACGCCTCCGATGACGTGTCTGATGCCGGGAGGCTTGGTGGGCCCGGTGGGCTGCGGGCCGTCGATGGTGGCGTTCCACTGGGAGTCTTCGGGGAAACCGACATGGCCCTTACGTCCAAATCCTACCCCAGACTCCAGCTTCAATCCCAAGCCTAAAAGCAAACACAGCACAACCATGCAGCTCACAACCAGCTTAAGGTTTGGGCTCAGCTTCAGGTTCGGGCTTCTCTTCCTAACACTGCAGCAACCGGCACGACGAGAACGACGCAACCCCAGGCTGCACGAAACGAAGCGCATCAGATCATCCCACCTGCTCGCGGATTCACGACACTGGGTCACCCCCAGGTCTTCAAGTTTTATCCGTCTTTCAAGAGCAATATACCCAAACGACTTCATCACCTGCGCCATCAACATGCTGCACTGCACAACAACAAGTCTCAAGCGCACAACCAAATCCACCAAGCATGCCACAACCAACCACAACGCAGGCAACCAGTTCAAGCACACCACGCTCAACGCACAACCAGTCTCATGCTCAAGGCTCACAACCGGTCCAAACGTCTGTACCTCACTCACTGGCACCTCTTCAACATGGTTTGCATGCTTCAAAGAACGCAACAGAAACGAAAACGGTGTGAACTCCAACGAACTCACCACATCCGCTTTGGGTTTCGGGCTTTTCTTGGGTACTTTAGGACCTTTTTTGGGGTTTCGGTGAAGGCTTCGGGCTCTTTTGAGGGCTCTTTACAGCATCACCCTCAAGCTTGGCCTCCTCTCCGCTTCCCTTGAGGACGTCCAGCTCCATGGCGGTCGGTCCTGCAGGTTTCCCCAATCCTGGCAGCACAGCTGTTGCATACCATGCACGGTCCTTCATCAACAATTTGATTCTTCTCTTTGTCTTCTTCTGAAACATGTGTGGCTGATTGTTCAGAAACGTGCACCATCCTCGGGAATACGCCATGTATGGCGACAACACATTGAACGACAAATTCGTGATCAAACACTGCTCCAACGTAACGGTCTGCTTACCGAAACGCACGCGAACGTCACAAACCTTCAACACTTCAACGCTGTCATTGCTGGCATTTGACAGTGTGGGCCTAAAATCATAGGTTCGCAAAATCTCATATTCCTCAAAGAACGCAGCAGACATGCAATGCGTGGTTGCTCCACTATCTACAAGCCACAGGCTACTGTCAGTCTCCGAGGTCGTCAGCCGGATCTGATGGGCCGCAGCTGCCACCTCAGGAGGCGGACTTGTCGATGTGAGCGCCATCACCGCTTCGCCTTCGGGCTCTTCTTCTCCATCTTGCGCAGAGCGGACACGATTGCCCTTCCCTTTGCCCTTCGCTTTGCCCTTGGCTTTCGGCTTCGGTGACGGCTTCCCTTTCGGGCCCTTCGTCTCGCTGCCTTTGTCCTTTCCTTTGCCTTTGCCAGGCCCCTTTATGTCTTTCTCTTTCTTTTCATCAGCGATACGACGCCGGCAGTCGCTCTGGAAGTGACCACTCTTTCCGCAATACCAGCATTCGCCAGTCTTTTGCTCTGTCTTTCCAGACTCACGCTTCTCCTTGCCTTTGGAGGTTCCTTTCGGACTCCCTTTCTGCTCATGCTGCCGCAGACCTTTCACTCCAGAGGGGGCTTCCACCATTCGCAGCTGCTCCTCATAGAAACGAAGCGAATCCGTCATCTCGGACCAGCTACTGGTACGCCCATGGAGTACCAGATACTCCCGGGCTTGCTGGGATACTGCTTGCAGCAGTACCGCCGCCCGATCCCCTGCAGAAATCTTCAAGTCTGCAAACTGAAGCAGCTTGGCATCGCCTTTGGAGAATTCATCTTCCAGATACCGAACCACGTCCAGAGGCCTCTTCATGCTTACGCATCGAAGATGAAGTTTCAAAAGCTCATCCCTGATGTACACAGCCTCCATTCGACTGTTCACAGAGTACTGCCGGTAGAGCTCCCGGACACTCTCATATCCAGCAGCGGCATTCCCTTGTCTCATGGACACACTTCGAAGCACTTCCATGCCTCGGTCCCACTTTCCCAAAGCTTGCTGCAAAAGGTAAAACAGACGAGCACTTCTTCCAGCTGTGTCTCGAGGTAGAGTCACCTGCTGAATCTCCGTCTTGACGAACAAACACTCACGAAGTTCACTGACGTAAGCATCATCCGTCAAAGCAAGCCAACTGGAAAGAACTTCAAGGAAACGATGCCACTCTTCCAGCTCTCTAATCCGTCCTTTGCTCATCTCCTGTCCATTGATGACAGGCAGAGGGGGCAGGTACTTCTCAGCCCTGCTCGTAAAACTCTGCGAACCCGAGGCTACTCCACTTGATGGAGCAACAGGGGCACCTGAAGATGCCGTCGAACTTGAAGTAGCAGTTGGAGCCCCAAACGGGTTGGGCGTGGCTGCTTTCGCAGTCTCCTCCTGCTTTCGTCTTTCATCTTCGGCATCCAAACGGCGCTCCATGAGCCTCAAATGAGCCTGCTGTGCTTCTAACAGCTGCTGCATCTGAGTCTGCTGCTGCTGCATGGCGACCGTCTGGTTCTGAAGCATAGCCATCAGAAGCTGCTGTACCTCAGTCGCCCCAGAACTGGTTCCAGGCGTCACTGGACATTGCCCAGCACTCGCTGCACCAACTTCTGGTGGCACAGTGGGTTCAAACAGCTCCGGGTCGTACTCTTCGACTCCCGGCACAGGAACCTGGCTCCCACTCGGCGAGCCGGCTGGACTTCCACCAGCTTGTTGGGCCATGGCACAAAGCTCTGCTCCCTCGTCAAACTTATCCCTACCTGCATGTGCCAGACAGCTACCTGTTCATCATATCAACAAAGAAACATGGATTTTCACAGGCAGTGCGCACACAGAAGACAAGCACGATCCAATTCGTGGCATAGACCACGAGAGTTGCCGAACCAAGAACATCCCGAGGTAGTTTTGCGGCATGTATCGGCGAGGAGATGTGAGAGCTCACATCACGCTAGGCAGCATGCCATGAAAGGACTTAATGGCGGTTCATGGCGTCAGTCGGAGCCCTCATGACAACTTGCTATCAATTGCCAGGAGCCCTCCCAGTCTGGACGCCAAGAGTTGAGATATGTGAACCTCCTACCCAGTTGACACGTGATGTGCACTTAAGTTGTCTGCTATGAGTGTGAAGCATAGGCACGAGGACATGTCAGGCAATGCAGATTTCTTTTTCTCGAAACTCGTTTGTTGGAACTCGTTTCCCGTTTGTGACCTGGTATTTGGTGACCAGAAGTGACTCAAGCCAGTTTGGGTCTGCACAAGCTCAGCAGAGCACCTAAAAGGTGCTAGGAACCGACCCACAGTGTTTGGGAGTAGAAGTTCCATGGCTGAGTGTTTTTCACCTGAGGTACCTTTGTTTTCCCATGTCTGGCAGACAGTGTTTGAAGCTGCAGAGCCGTGCTCGCATTGGCTCAGGTGGTGGAGCTTCGTGCTCCAGATGGACAATGGTGAAGAACGTGTGCCTGACGAGACCGTTCTCCGAGAGGCCACAGTGCAGCAGCCTGAGTTCCACATGGCTTTCTGGGGCAAGGTCACCAAGTGCCCGTGGGAGAAGAGAACGTTTGGAAGGTCGATGCCAGCGCGACCAGCTTCAGTTCCACGCGGAGTAAACCAAGGCAGTGGACAGCTACGACTGGAGTAGGCCATCAGCTACCAGTTGGGGCTGTGCCTTCGTTTGGACCTCAGTGCTACCGATGGGAACACCCCGACAGCACCACGAGAACCCTTCAAGTTCCGAAGATGCAGTTGCCCATTGCACCTGGAGTAGCTCAACAGATGGAGTTCACAAGAGCAATGCTGCAAGCACAGAACGAGCAGATCCGACAGCAGGCAGCTCAACTTCAACAGATGAGTGCCATGCTGACGCAGGCATTGCAGCTTGCAAGTGCGAATGCTGCAAATGCACAAAATGCAACAGCTACAACTTCATCGTCGACGAGTTCTACCCCTGGAGGAAACCTCTCAGCATCATCTGCGAGTGCATCGACCCCTGTGGATGTGGAAGTCGACTCTGGTGTACGAAACAAGAGAGCAGAGGCTACATTCCACAATTGCCTCAGCTGAACCATGCGTCCATGACGTAGACATGCTAAAATCCGAGTTTGGACAGCTTACAGAGACTTACAAGCTGGCTTTGTTTGCTTGACGATCGGTACGCTACGGAGTTGCAGGAGGCGATGAGTAGCAGTGTGGAAGTCTTGCAAGTGAAGCTTGAAGCCGGGAAAGCAGCTCGGTCGACAAAACTTTGGTTTTTGCTTCGTCAGTCCATGAGCAAGTTCCAGCGTGGGCAGGATTTGGTGCATCTCATCGAGGTAAAGCAGATGGGAGCAAGTGCCGGATATGAACTCTGGCGTTCTTTGAACAATGAATTGTCCGTTCGCTCCAGAGTAGAAGGACAAGCCCTTCGCGAGCAGGCATTAGGCCTGGTGCCGCCGAAACACCTCAAGCGACCACTTGATGTCGCTAGGTGGTACACCACCGAACTCCTCAAGTTCGAGGCGCAGGTGAAGCATCGC